CCTGGTGTGATGGGAGAGGCAGGACGGAAATGAGAAGCACTGAGGTCAGGCCATGTGTCTTGTAGAGCAGCTTTGATGAGGGTGAGAAGGAAATGTCCCACTTGCATGGTTCTGTTGCAAGGTGCCCTCTGGGTAGCCTCTCGCCTCCAGTTGGGTGGCTGCTTGGTCACGTTGGCTTTGTTTCAAGGAAATGATCTGCAGAGTTTGGAGGGCTTGGAGTGGCCTGGCCAGTCTCTGCTGGTAAGAGTCTCTATGGGATCCCAGCTTGCTTTATAATCTGCAGGGATTTTCATACTTCAGCATCTTTCTGAGACTGCTGTTTTGTAACAGGCTGCTCTTGTTGCTTGCCACTTAATTTGTCAGCTCTGTAGGCCCTAAAAAGAGATTTTTAGCTGATGCAACTGTTTTTTTCCTGTGTTACTTCTGTCTTTCCTCTCCCTCCTGTCCTTTAGTTCAGGATTCAAAAACTGCAGATGCTCGAAACTAAGCATGACTCACACCTTCTAGTTTATTTTGTGAATTATCCAGCACATGATGCTGACGGGAAAATGTTGGGAGTGGAGGGGGTAGGGAGCAATAAATGGTTTTTAAGACCTAAAAGGAAATGCTCGGGGCGTGCGTGTGCGGTCCCTGGGTCATTGAACTGGCTGGTGTCCCAGGGCATGTCATATGGGCCCCGTGAACCGAGGGGGTCCATGGGCCCTTCAGCAGATGTCAAAACATGGTCTAAGACTTCAGGCAGAAGCGTAGGGTGTGTTTTGCTCTAACCCTTGCTCGAGAAGCCAGTGGGGTTCAACCTCTTGCAGAGGCAGTGTATGTTCATGCTGCCTGTTCCTGGATGTTACCTACCTCTTTGTCACACACCTAAGTATTGCTAGCAACATGTAATACTGCCTTTGCTCCTCTGTTGGGGTTACTGTGCTATCTTTGAAGCAGTTCGGTGTTAGAAATGCTGAGCTGCGGAGCTGAGGTAATTCTGGAGAAAGCTAGTGGAGGCAGATGGCAGAATGTAAAAAGGAAAAGGTATTTCATGAAATTTTGCCAAGTTGTACCTAGAGACATGACTTGCAACCATGCTTGCAAGAGCCACCGATGCTTAGAAAGGAACATTTTTGGGGTGAACTCCTACCAAGCATGGGTCTTCTTCATTGGAGCTTGCAGAGAGGCTCTCTAGGATCCCTCAAGCAAGCAAGCTCCCTCTTTCATGCTGCTGCATAGCTTTTGCAGCCTGCCACTGCTGCAAAGGATGATGCTTCTAGCCATGCTTCTGCCCTCATCCCCCCCGGTGGTGCTTCTGCTGGCTGTGGCAGCAGCTGGGATTCCTGGGCTGGTTTTTCTTTCATTCACAGCTGTGCCAAAAACACATATCCCAGGCCTGCTCCCATCTGCGCCAAGGCAGATTGGCTTAATCAGACTATGGTAAACCTGGTGTTAATGTTTCATGCTTCACTGGACTTGCCAATTGTAGCTGCTGTGATTGCACCTCTGCTGCCTGTTTAACTGTCTGACGGCTCACAGCCAGGGCCTGGAAATGGGAAATCAAGTTGATTTGCAGCAGTGAACGTAACATTAATCTTACCTTTCATTTTTTAGCTATACAGTTATGGGATAAGGAAATAGATTTCTTTTCCCTTAAATACGAAGCCTCTTGGAGAGGAGGAATTGTGAGTCTCTCCGTTGTCATTGAGGCCATCCTATTTCTCAGCACAAACTCAGTGGACATAATACCTAGTAATGAGTGTGCTGGGGCCATGCTGAGACTGGGCAGGGGACGAGGACTCGCACCGATGAACAGACCGTGCCTGGCTGGTCCGCATCTCCAGTTATTCTGTAACTGCCTCATTGCTGGCTGCGTGTCTTCAAGGATGGAGGATTCGTTTCCTTGGCCTCGCTTGCAGCTGTGGTCACACTGACTCCGTGCCATGGGCGCTGAGTCTAGTATTGAGGGAGTGCTCTGTGCTTGCCATCAACCCTGGACTTGCTAGGGAGTTGCAGGTGTCCCCATCTCTTGCCACCTGGCTGGCTGACAGTGCTTCATTGTGTTTGTAATGGGATGTTCTCATCTTCCTTTGCACGTTGTTCTCAGGCTGATGGCACTTGGGAATAACGTGCTCAGATGAGTTAGAGGCAGCCAGCCCAGCCAAGTTTCTGACAGTGACGAAAGGTCTTCTTGTGCCGTCTGCCCTGCCAGCAACTTCAGCAGCACAAAGCGAGGGCTGTGTGCTCGAGCTGTCTGTTCGTGGGTTTGTAAGAGTGGCTTAAAGAAGTGTATGCACAGCCAAGTGGCTTCTTCAGCGGTGCATGAATGAATCCAAACACATGAGCAAACCCAAGGCTTGCTGCTGCCCTGCCAGCCTCCTCTGTGAGCTGGGGGCACCATGGAGCCCAGACATTTGGGAGCTTCCCATGTGCACATCATGAATTGCCATCCAGTTTCCCTCTCTCTGTACCATATCTTGATGGGATAATCACAGTTTTAAGGCGCAGCCCCTGTATTCACGTCTAAGCCCTGGAACTTGATGGCTTGTCCCAGGGCATCGTCTCCACTTGCTTTGTCCCTGTTTATTTGACTTTGGAGACCCATGAATTACTTCTAAAGGATCTCCGGAGGAGTAGCTAGAAGAAGCAGGCCCACCTATACAACAGTATATGCACTTGGCCTTTTTATTTAAGGAGTCCATGCTTTCTTTAGGATGTTTTACTAGCCCATTAATCAAAAAGAATTAAACAATCATTGCTACATTATAGGAACAAAGCTCACCAGGGAGATGAGATTTCTTTGGGACTGGTGCAAGACTGTCAAGAGAAGTACAGCAATGTTCTACCACGGCCCTCCCACTGTCATGTGTATGCCAAGCATGTCTCTTCCCAGAGAAGTGTGTCTGTGTGGGTAGAATGGAGTAAAAAAACCTAAAGTCCTCCTCCGCACATGTACCTCTCTGGGGAGGATGGAGCAAAGGTCTGCCAGCATCATGACCAACAAGGCAGAGCTCTTGAGTACCATGGGGATCAGAGCAGCATATAAGCCTGTGCAGAAAGGAGTTGGGAAGGGCTGGGGTGCAGTTTCATAAACATTTCTCACAGCAAAAAATATGCAGCTCCGAAATGTTCATCCTAGCTCTTGTGCTGCCTGCCTTGTCTTGCTAGTACAGCTGTTCAGGCAGCTGTGCAGTGGACTTGCTGAGACCTATTGCAGTTAAAAATAACACTTCCCTCCCCTTCTTTTTTCTTTTTTTTTTTTTTTTTAAACTGTTAGGACCAAGTGCTGCTGCTTGAATATGTGGTAGTAAAAGCACAGCCCTAGATTTGCGTAAGCTGTTTGTGGCTTTGTATTGAGGTGTCTTTGCTCAGCTCTGAACTGACAGTAGGGCTCAAACCTCTGAGTTGGAGGTGTGCTTCCAGCAGGCCAGATGATGCTTGTTTTAAGTAGAAGGCAGTTGTTCCCCTCATCGTGCTGTGAAGCCGAATAGAATTAGGGACCACAGAAATGAAGTCTCTCTGGGCAAAATCCCCACGCCTCATCCCACAAAAGTGCCTGTGACCACCAGGCACCCTGGGTATGTCACCCGTGAGCAGCACTGCTGCCTGCTGCTCAGCTGTGGTTTTCCCAGTTCTGTGGTTGAAAGCAGTGTTTCTTTATTTATACGTACACAAATACCCATTGGAAGTGTTTTAGTGCTATTTAGTGTTTTGTATTCTCTTTCCTTTCTTAAAAGAAGTTGCAATAAAAAAAAGAACAACAAAACCTTAATTGCACCATCTAGAATTGTACATGCTTAAAGTGAGTCGCTATGGGATGGTATAACTGTAATCTCTGTCCTCATCTCCACCCTGCTGCTTGTCACTGTCCTTCCTTGAAGCACTGCTGTAGCTGTTAGGTACTTTTGTCATCTGTAAAACATCCTCCCATGCAGCAAGACTCAACCAAAAATTCTGTTGAATGCAATAAAGGATAAAGTATTTATTTGACCTCTTAGTACACGAACTAGAAACTCTTCTAGAATATTTTGTGAAGATACATGGGTGCAAAAGAACATCGCAATGCTTCTCTGTCAGAACGTATGCATTAATGCAAGAAGAGGGAAGACGCAAGGGGCTGTGGCTTGGGAAGGCACAGCTGCCTTCTTGTTTCTTTGTAGTATTTTCCACCCTTTGTGGTGATGGAAATGTTTTATCTTCTCTGACTCTGAACACTTTCATAAATGGGTTCCTCATAAAGTCCCCTTGTAGTTTTGGTACGTTCTGGGGGTTTTGGGGTTATTTTCACTTTCTCTTCTAGGCTGTCGCTGTGCTCTGCTAAAGAGAAACCTTGGTCTTCTCCGGGGTTTCTCCTATGGAGCAGAGTGGCAGTGGCTCTTACATCCCTCTGCACCTTCAGAAGCACCTTGTAGTTCTCTTTATGCTGTACGTTTCAAATGGGAGAGATTCCCCTCTCGGGTCCAGTTAAGCTGCTTAGCTTCTCACGTTCAGGAAAAACAAGTTACTGACCTCCCTAGTCCCAATTTTTCAGTGCCCATGCCTTAAACTCCCCTTGAAGCAGACTGGAACCCCGTGTACGGCAGACGTGTGGAGCGGGGCCCCATCCTGCGCTTTAGGGGCACAGATCACTTTGTCCTTGGTTCACCAAGAAGCTGATGCGTACCTGTCACCAAAAGCCTGAACCTGATGCTGTGTGTGTGTCCCTGTCCCAATATGTATGTGACTTGTGTTTTGTTGCCCTGCTGCCTATCATAACAAGTTAAAAATAAACCTTGGTGTTTTTCTACAGTGTGGGTAGAGTGTTCTTTTGAAAGTTCAAGTGCGAAAGTGATAGGCATTGGCAAAAATCTGCTGCTTTCAGACTGGTGCCAAAGGGAACTCGTCTCCTTCCCGTTTAGCTTGTCTCTGGGTCGTTTTCAGTGTCTTTTTAAGAAGCCGTGCTTATCCCTGCTGGTAATGCTGTGGTTGATCCCATGCCTGGGTTCTAGGTACATAGCCAGCACCTGCACCTGAAAAAGTCAATGAAGCTTACCGGAGACAACTGTAAAATGAGTCCTGAGCTGGTAGAAATGCCTTGCAGCAAGAGCTGTGGAGCTCAGTCTGCTCAGCTCTGCAGAGGTGACAGCATGTGTGTGTCTTTATGCGGAGAAAATACTACTCTCAGTCTTTGATGTGGCAAAGAAAGTCATAGTAAGCACAAACGCTTCACCTTGGGTTTAGTTGAACACACTCAGCCTGGGCGTTGGTATAAATCTGGGTGGAATACAGGGTTTTGTGCACAAGGTCTGATCCAGTGATAGTGTGGGCAATTCTGATCTTAAACTAAAGAAGCAGAGGTGGAGGGGAGAGTGGAGGTGGCTTGTTATGCAAACAGGGACAAAGTAGTAAATGTGTGGAAAAAGTAGCCACAGGTGCGGGAGGGGGAAGAAACCCACAAGTCCAGACCTTGGCTGGTAGAAAGTATGTCTGAAGTCTCTGTGTATGTATGTTCCCCCGACCACCATAGCTCTTCTAATGCTTTTTGTTTTGCTCCTGATGCTAATTCTCTTGTCTTTGTTTCCCTGTCCAGTGTGTCGAGACTTTGCTGTACTGGAAGATCATACCTTGGCCCATAACTTACAGGAGCAAGAGAGTAAGTACCGATGATCTTTGGAACAAAGTGAAGCAAATTTGTCCCAACAGATAGCTGGCTTTGATTTTGCTGAGGAAAAATCCTCCCTGCTTTTATTTCATTTTTATTCTTTTTAATGGAATACTGATTATTATTACTGTCTTCACTGTCCTGTAACGTTACTCTGTGCTCTGCCCAGCTCACATTGTACCCTAGAGATAGTTGCATTTCATGTTTCAATTTTGCGCTTTCCTTTAAAGTTGAGTTTGTTTATGCCATTTATGATAAAATTGTATGTGGGAGTGCACTTGAGGTTTTGTTGCTGTGCAAGGATTTTAGAAATGACTAGCAATTTTGGAAGCTTCAAGTTTTATAGGCTGACCTGAGCTGCAACCAGAAGAGGTCTGTTATTTACTTATTTCAGAATTGCTAGTGCCTGCCTTTTGAAAGGAGGCTTTCTTTTAAGACATTTTGAGGTAGGGCAGCTGGATACTACCAAGAGTTTAAAAAGGAGAGGGGAAGAAAAAAATGTACAGCCAGGAACTTCAAAGCGACAGGTGGGGTTTTTCTTCTTTTTTTTTTTTTTTTTTTTTTTACATGCTTATCTGTTGCTTTGAGTATGTTTGCATTGCAGTTTCAGGTGTGGTGGCCTCTCTAATCTGCTTTCCTGGGTGCCAAGACCATTGGTATCCACCAGTACTTGGTGCTAACACCGTTCTAGTTACTCCACCAAGTGTGCAGCTTGTGCTGGTTGTGCCCTTGCTGCTGGAACCTGAGACCACTGAATTAAAGCTGGCTCTCGGCTGCAGCTCACGTAGCCATCTTTTCTTGCAGGCAATATCCATGTATGGTAAAGGACTCGCTGTAGTACTGGGTTGCTCTGTTGCTAAATATAAAGGTAGTGAGATTCTGGAACTGATTATGTTGAGAGCAAGAGGAGTTTCCTCCTCTAGAGGTTTTTAAGAACAAATGAGGGAAGCATCCATCAGAAGTGGTCTAGGTTCACCTCATCCTCACTGGCCTTTGGTGGTCCCTTCTAGACCCACTTTATTAATCTAGGGTAATTTCCCATGGCCAGAAAATGAAATTCAAAGCCTGAAAAGTGTTCCCTATAAACCTGGATGCAATTAAGATATGCAGATCTTGTTTTGGTAACACACACAAACACAGCCACCTCAGTGCTGAACTGAGGCAGTCTCAAGCTGCTAGTGTAATTTCGGTTCAGGGCTTCCCCACCTATAGAGATATTACATGATGTTTCCCTGCCAAGAACTGTCTTCTTTTCTGTCCTGGAATCTCCCTCCCACTTGCTTTGTCTTGTTCACACCGTGAAGTTCTACGGGCTGATTTGGGGTTCTTATCTGTGTTTATTTCCAGTTGAGCATCACTTGGCAACAAATGTTCAGCGTAATCGTCTGGTACAACATGACTTGCAGGTGGCCAAGCAACTGCAAGAGGAGGAGGATCTGAAAGCACGTGCTCAAATCCAGAAACACCGAAAAGACTTGTGAGTTTGGGATGGAGCTGTTGAAACGGTTGTTCTGTTTGGTCAGAGCACTGAAATCAGCTGCTTTATTTTGATTGACAGTACATGGGCTTTAGGTTGATCAGCCTTTTGCTTTTGTATCCTTTCTCCTTTGGCTAGCTGTTGTAAAATATTGATGCTAGGCTCTGGCACAGACCATTGAGGACAGGGAGGGAGTAGGTGGTCCTGGGGCCCATCCTGGCTTAGATTCTGTTGCCTGACCATGGGAAGGAGCTTTTCTGTTCTGCTGCCTGTTGGCAAAGTGGGATGACTTGGCCACTTGCATTGACCTTGTCCCTGGCTAAAGTTTGAGAAAGGAGAAACTGCACCACAGAAATACACAGTGTTACAGTGAATTCTCTCTACTGTGGAAATTACAGGTATTAATGTGTTTGCATTGTGCCTGATGAGTGCTTTTGAAGAGCTGGGCGCAATGCTTTTTGCTGTCCTGCTGCACTGAACAGCTGAAAGCCCCTGCCTGTGCTCGCGGATACTCCAGCGTGAAGTGCCCTGGGAAGAGGGGCTGCTGCCCCAGGGTCGCTTGGTGGAGATGGGTGTCGGGGGACAGGCCTTCTCTTGCAGTCACTGACTTCTGCAGCAGCTGTGGGAGGATGTTTAATGAGTGATCCAGTTTGCTCTGTAGGTTTGCTCAGGCCCTGCAGGCCGGATCTAACCCTGTGGCCTGTGATTTGGCTTTCTGTGTGCCATGGCTCACAGCTGGTGTGGAAGTGAAACATGGCAGTGTGGGGCAAAACAAACTGTACTCTTCAATCCAGAGTTGACACTGGTGCTTTTCTTTGTTTGTTTTGTTCCCCCATCCTTACTCTGTTGCAATGCGTGAGATGTAACAAATGGGTTGTGTGACAGGGCTCAGTCAGATCCCAAGGACAGGAGACAGAGGCTGGGGCTCCCCGCGAATGCGGGGTCTGCAAGGCAGGATGCATCTCCCGACGGCTGTGCTGCCTCCCAGCTTGTGTCGTGCTCTGTGATACCACCCACCAGGTACAGTTGGTGGTGGATCACAGACCCTGGGTGGCTCATCTGGCCGAGACAGCGATGGAGTAGAAGAGCTCTGTGTTGCAGATGCGCAAGATACAGGACTGGCTTCAAAGGACCTGCTTGTAAAAGATTTAAAGCTGGTGTGTGTGACACATCAGCCACTGTTTTCAATGTTCCCAGCGCACTCGGACTGCACTGGGTAGACACATATGTATCTCTCAAGTCTCTGCTTTCTTTCAGTAGTTTTGTCTTCATTGCCAATTAGAGATGTGAGCATGTAAATGACAACATCAAATTAATTTTGTATGTCAGAGATTACTCCTTTTTGTTACTTGCTGGGAACTGCAAACAAATTTCTTGTGGTAGGACTCTGTAAAATGGGATTTACAAACTTTGTGAGCTAAGTTACAGGCAGAACTGCTGATGCAAAATGTTGTGTCAGCAGCAGTTCAGCTCCTGAAAGCATGAGCTCTTCTGCAAGAATGCTAAAAAAAGTTGGAGGCATCCTTTTGTAATTGGATCTTTTTCTTCCTTAATTCTTTGTACGTTCCCACTGTCTCCTCCTTGTGCAAGATCAGCGTGTTCTGGCAACAAAATGATCCTTGCTGTTGTTGCTTTCTGTATGGTCTAGGGCGGTTTGACACTGCCAGGTGATGGGAAGAGTACAGGGGCAGAACTGGGTGGCCTTTAGAAACCTAGAATGTAAAAAAAAAAAAAAAAAACCAAAAAAAAAAACCCTCTTCAAATTTATGGGCTTGCTTCTGTCTTTCAAATCCTAGATTCTTGCAGAAAGACTTTGTGAAGATAAATGAGAGAATAGAAAAAAATTTTCTTTTTAAGAATTCAGGGAAGCATCAAACCTTATTTTCATGCTTCTTTAAAAGCATCTCTCACATCTAGCTGAGCAGCCTGCATGCTGCTGAGCATAGTAGCAAGGTTGCTGAAATAACTGTCAGAAATACTGTGAAAATATGCTTTTTCTGTGTTTTGCTCCTCGTGCTGTGATGGTTCTGTTATGCTAATGTGAACAGTTCCTTTGAATGGCTCCCTTAAATTCTTTTTTTTTTTTCTTTTTCCTCATCTGGCAACAATTAGTTGCTACAGCCAGTATGAATGGGAGCTTTCTGATGATCACACTGACTTTTTTCTTTTTCCTAAACTGATGTAGAGTTTCCCTGACACTCTTAACACTCCTGGTTGCCCAGGAATGAAGGACACATAGGTGTGATGTTCAGGGATGGTGACATTTGTGTTGCTCTGGCTGATTTCTGGGGACTGATGGGCACTTGAACTCATGCTAAAGAAACTGAAGAACAAGAAGAGCTGTTTAAGTTCTTTAACCTTATGCTCAGTCAAGTTGAAACACTACTTTGCGTTGATTAACTAATCAAATCTCAGTATTTAATTATCACTGAGTAATAAACGCCAAAATCTAGACCTCTGTTGCTGTTCAGTGGTTCTTAGAGATTCATACGGTGTATTCCAAGATATGTGTCATCAGCGATAAGAAAATGCTTCTACTTTCGTATTTCTTCTAGTGTTCTTTGCTGCGAATGGAGAGGCAATGACCTTGTTGCCTTGGCTCTGAAAGACGATTAGCTGTTTCTGTCTCCTGTTTGTCTGCAATAAGATGTATTTTAAGCATTTAGCAAGTCAGTTGGTGCTGATGAACTTGGCACCTTAGCTCTGTTCACAGGTGCTGGGGGAACTGGAGACGTGCAATGCCTTGATATGTCTGACCTTTCGAACTTATTTTCTACCTGGATTCATGTCCTCTGAGGCTGGGGTCATAAGCGATCCTCTGTCTCTGGCCCACTGACAGCCTGCTCCCCAGGATGTGCATATTCAGCTATTGTTTTGCTGGGAACTGTGGTTCCCTGCTGGTGCCAGGTTTGCCAAGGTCCCTTTTTATATGGCAGGTTCAAGAACTAGACTTGCTGCCATGTGAGCTCATGTGCCTTTGAACAGGTCTCTCCCTGGAGTCAAGTGAAATGCACACAGACGTGCACACACAATGCCAGATTTTATTACCTGGATGAAAGAAACTGATGTTTGAAGGTGTTTGACCTATTGATAACTCCAGCCCTACAAACACTGAAAATCATGAGTGCCTTCCAGGGTGTCTCTAGATGTGGGTCAGTTTACGGATATGAGGGTGTGGTGGTCTGCAAAAGGGAAGGAAATTTTGTGTTGTGAAGTTGACTTGGGTTTGTGTGTGTTTGGGGAAGGGGATATAAATAACATGCAGTACCCAATTGCAGGTCTGCTTCCAAGGAGCAGTTGACAGAAATAACGAACCTTCTTTCCCCTCCTGCTGCTTGTTCCTTCTTGTTCCCTATGACAGATGAGTTGTTTCTTGGTGGCATTTGTCCTCTAAACCCTCTTCTTGTTGCAGCATCCTTCCTCCCTACCCTAAACCATGTATTGACTCTTTCCGCTTCTTTCATTTTTCTTCCCCTTCTATAAAAGAAGGCTCTGCAGTACCACTGCCTGCTCCAGCCATGTTACTTTTCTGTCTTGCCACCGAAAGCACTTGTCTGCACTTACTGTTGTAATTTCCTCTGCTCATGTCCTAGACTCTCTTCCAGTCCTTTGCCTCCAAGTTCACTGGGTCATTTATGCTGTGATCCTTGCTCAAGCCAACAACTAGTCGCTCCAGCCCACAGAGCACAACTTTGACACAGCCGAACCTACTTCTCTTGAAATATTTGCTTGACTTCCATAATCTACTTCCATTATCTATCTGATCATTGTCAGTGTATTCTTCAGAAGATTGTATTCTAATAAAGCAAGCTCTGCCTGTTGCTGTTCTATTCTCACCTCCTTCTATGTCTTGCCTTTCAGTAGTTTCAATTGCAGAGATTGATTTATTTTTTTTTCCTGACCTTTTTAGGGCTAGTATTTGGCTCAATTTCAACAGTGCTCAAAGAGAGAACTCAACCTTTCTTCTTAAATCCCCCCAGCACTTTTCTAGGTTGCCCTAGGGAACCCCTGGCCATCGTTCCAGCCTGTTTGCCGGGCATCAGAGGCCGTGGCTGAGTATGGCACAACTCTTGCAGATGGTTTCTATATGACGTCCCTGAAATAGGCCTTCCCGGTCTATCCACACAGACGAAACTGTCATTTCATGTCTCAATTACTCTGGTATCTCTGTGTCCCCAGTTAATGCAATCTTGCGTTGTTCCCACATCCGCGCTGGCACCACGATGATGGCTCCCTCACCCCTCGTTCTGACGCATGTCGCTCTCTTGGCACTGGTTCTGCTTTTGTGTCTCACCTCAGCAGCATTTCTCATTCATTACTGAACTGCCACCTCCAGCCTCCGCCTGGCCCGCGTACCGCATCTTGCTGTCAGCATTTCTGCGCTTTCTCCTTGGCTTTCGCATGCAAACCACTTCCCAGAAATGCCTGCATTAACCTGGGCCCCAAATGCTCCTTTGGCACCACACGTACAAAAAACTCCTCAGCAGAATTAGACTGTGTGCAGAGGCTCCTGTGCGCTACCTTGGCCTGCCCTGTCCTGTGGGACCTACCTCCTTTCTTACCAAAATGCCTATGAATCTGTTTTCTCTTGCTTTATACTCTGTGAATGTTTTGGGACCTATTTTCTAAATTTGGCCAGCAGTAAGTATGGGGAGTCCTGGTCCCTGGTGAGGATTCATAGGCTCTGCACTAATACTAAGTAATAATTCTTCTGTGTAAATCAGATGGTTCTTTAGCTCTTTTACGCCTTTCTCCAGGCTGACTGATGCCTGTGACTTTTGCTGGCTATAATCCCTGTTTCCTTGCCTTCTAGAGAACGACAGGACTGCGAGATCGCTCAGGAAATCCAAGTGAAGCTGGTATTTGAAGCAGAGCAGCGCCGCAGGCAAGAGGAAAAAGACGAGGTAACCTTTAAAGCTGCGGGGATGGCAGGGCTATTTGTAGCAGCCCTTTCAGTGCAGGCATTTCTCGGTCATTAGCCACAGGAGTTGGCTTGCATGGTGTCAGTCCTGGTCCTCACAGATCTAGGTATGCACAGAGATTTTTGGGGAGTCCTGTTACAGGAATAAGATACAGTTATAGTCCTCACACTCAAGGGTCACAAGGGTTGTTGATTCCAGTGGCCTTGCTAATAAAGAGGACAAGTAATAAGTGAGTCTTGTTGAGGTCTTTGTTGCCCTGGTGTAGGAAGTTCTAATTGGCTATGCACTCTGAGATCTGCTTGCTTTCTCAAGTGCAAGAAGACAGGTACTACTTCTGGGAGAATCCTCAGTCATGATTTCTTCATCTTTGGTGCAAAGACTTCAGCAGG